TCACGAATTTCCTCCCAAGACACAATAAGATGTTTTTCTAAAAGGTATTTATGGCGGATTTTTGGCCTCGGGAGAGAGAGATTCGAGCTTTTGGTGCATCGGAAGGATAAATAAGGTATCAACGAAGGGCGTGGATGGAGAAAAATGACGATAAAGGCGATCGAAAGCCGAGAAACGAGTGGGAAAAGAGAGGCGGATCTGAGGAGAACTTCCCGTCGCCATCTCAGGAATTCTAATTATTTCTCGTTAATTACGTTAATTAAGGCGTTATTTTGGGTCTGGTCGGGTTATGGAAGCGGTCAGCATCACGACACGCATCTCGGCTCTGGGGAAAGAGGTCTCTGGATGTGGAAAAGAGGGGAAAAAGGGGTGAAAAAAGGGGGAAAAGAGAGGGAGGTCGAGAGGGAGAGGGTTAAAGGGGCGTCCTTTGGAATGTCTCGAGAAAGGAATTGGTAATTAAGCCTTAATTAGGGCTAATGAACCCCTTGGCTGGTGCAGAGAGGCGGAGAAATGACCCTCAGAGATGTCCAATTTTCCGGTCCGGAATGAGAGTCGTCACAAAGTCATTTTCAGCTCCATTGCTATGGGAATGAACAGAAATATGTGAGTAAAAAAAAAAGCATAAATAAATAAAAAAAATAAATAATAATTATCAGAGAAGTCCATATTTTTCGTTTTCTCCGTGAGCTTTCTCAATAAAAAAAAAAAGAGTGCAAATTTATTTCAAGGAGGATGTATTTCTGCAACATTGACAAGTTGCAAATCTCTTCGGACACTTTCGTGCAACTTTATCGAATTGATTAATCACGTGCAAGGTCTCCGATCCGGTGAAAAGCCTAAAGATTTTTAATACTGGCTATGGTAATTTATTTATTTGTTTTTAATTGAAAAGAGAGACCTGGAAATGAGAAGCTGGAGAGAACCTGTTGCTTCAGGGAATACTCTCATGTCATTACTAAGTGTTATTTATTTACACTTGGTATGTTTTGCTTTCCGTGGGGATGGATGTGTTATATCCGGAATGCAGGAAGAACGGGGAAATGTTATTCAGGTTATATCTTGGATTGTGTGATTTTACTAACTTGTTGCTGCTCGGAATGGCGTACGTATATGCCAGGTCCACTTTGTTTACGGTTTATTGTGCTTACACATAGATGACTCTGCAGGAACATTGTCACGAAGGAATCAGTTACTTGCTACCAAACGGACCTATTTTTTCTCTTTTACTTAGATTTTCATTCAGATTCTTTTTATTTTCCATCCATTGGTATTTTAGTGAAATTATATTAATCATAGTGGGAATAGTAATGTAACAGTGTTAATATTAAATGGATTATAGAAAAAAAAAGAAAATTCGAAGAACGGGAAAATCATTTGAGGTCATGTAGACCTATTAATTTATTCCAGCATACCTGGGCACTTGTGAAGCCATCTGTGTGTAAAGAAAACAACACGTCAATTGACAGTACTTTTACCAGGTGGCAATGGGGGAATAAATTACATAGCTAAGAAGTAGCAGCTTATGGGCAAGTGGATGTGTACAGTTGTAGGTCAAGGGGTATTTACAGTCTCATTCTTTCAGTTCTTGGACTAGTGAAGAACAACAACATACACATATATGGTGATTATTTACTTTTTCATGTATTTATTTATACATTTATTTTTTTAGTTGTAAATGCTTGGAAGACAGTTGTGTATCTCTGACTGGCCATAGGTGGCATTCATGCTTATTGACACTCCATGGCTAACAATACCATTACGTAAATTCTGTCAAGGTTGACCTTGTAAATGTTTCCGGCAAATTATTGACTTCATTTTAATTATTTCTTGATTCTGCCAACTGTTGCTAATTTTGGTTAATAGATATCAAAGAGAGTCCATTGATATAAAGATGCGATGTCTATTGACTAGTTTTATGGGAGTTTTGGTCATGCATGCTCAGTATGGAATTCTTGCTCTGCCTTTGGCAGGATTAAGTGCATGACCGACATGGGAGTGCCCAATGTCAGGATTGCAGCCCTCTGCATTTGACAATATAAAGTCTAATTTGGTACTGTGATTACAGCAGAGTTCAAGAATTCCACGCTGTGCATGTGCAACTGGAAATCACGGAAAAGTAGTCAACAGACATCACAATATGATACTGTAAATATAACGACTGCCATTCTAGGTATTTTAGGTATTCCATACATACAAGGTTGAAAAAGATAAAGACAGCTTATGGTGTACTTCAGTGTGGAAATGGAAAGTTTTATTAAGAGAAAACGGTACAGCTGTGCATAACTTTATATCTCCTGAAGAACAGTCCATTAACTAAATAAAGTGTGCACCTATAAGTCATTAGGTATTCCTTCTCTTGCATACTAATTTTTCATCCTGTTTACCTCTCTGTATCCCATACATTTCATGGATTCAAGTTATGCATGTCTATTGGATTTTTTTTCTCTTCCATCCTGGTCATGTGGTTTTTTATATATTTCTGCTTTGTCTAGCACTGTTA